ACGTCCTCCACAACTAGACTGAAGACCAAAACGACAGCAACTTGTCTGTTCCCCTTCCCCAATTCCCCAGCGCTGTTCCCATACCCCCAATTCCCCAATAAAAATCTTAAAAAAAAAAAAAAAGGAAACAGGTACCATATAACCCAGCAATTCCACTCCTAGGTGTATACCCAAGAGGAATGAAAACATGTATGTGCAAGAATGTTCACAGCGACATTACTCATAGCCAAAAGGTGGACAGAACCCAAATGTCCATGAATGAATAAATGTATAAATAAAATGTAGGATAGCTATAAAATCGAATATTATTCAGCCACAAAAGGAAGCATGTTGATACATGCTATAACACAGATGAACACGGAAAATATGATGCTAGTAAGTGAAAGAGGCCAGGCATAAAATGCCACATATTGTATGATCCCATTTACATGTAATATCCAGAACAGGCAAATCTATAGACAGAAAGTAGATTAGGGGTTGCCAGGGGCTGGGGAAAGGGTTGGGGAGTCACTGATTATGGGTCTGGGGTTTGTTTTTTTTTTTAATACGAGGATGTTCTGGAATTGAATGGTGGTGACGTTTGCACAACCCTGTGAATATACAAAACCCACTAAACTATACACTTTAAATGGGTGGACTGTATGGTATATGAATTTTATCTCAAGCTGTTGTAAAAAAAGTTGTATCATATATTCATTTATATATAAGAACTCATTCAAATCTATAAATCACCAAGACTTTTAATGAAGAAATGGACAAGGGATAGGCACCAAAATACCTCAAGCAGCCAAGAGATGAAAATGTGCATAGTATTCAAAGGCAAGTTAAAGCAACGGAGACAGCACAGCACATTTTCAATCATGGGGGGAATGAATGGATAAGAATGATGATTAAATATGTTTTCAACACACAGAGACACCCCATGCTAGCAAGACTAGGATAAAGCAAGTATACTCCTACAACTACAGCTGGCACCATAAACCCGTGTTGCTGTTAAAATGTTTTTGGAAAGCAATTGGTCATTTGTCAACAAAGCGACAACAAAACAGTTGTCAACGAGACACACAGAAATAGTGAAGAGAAGTGGGTATAAATACAGTTAAAAATTTAGGTGGGCATTATGAAAGGATTAGATAGTGTCAAAGTCAAATCGGAAATACTTAAAAGTTGTACCCACTACCATAAATAAAAAATTTTCTAACTCTGACCCTGAAGCGTTCTAGCAGTGACATCATTAGCCTGCTCACCAGCAGATTGCTGTAGAACACGAAATGAACTCAGAGCACCCAGCTCTGTTTCTAATAATACTCCCCATTAAAAGAACCCAGGACAGCACTTGGCTCCATGTCTTGGAACAGAAGAAAGACAATCAATCCAGTCCAGGAATCCCATGCTGGGTCTGAAAAGGAGGTGCCTTCATAAGTTGTGACAGCGGGGAAGGTCAGGGAAGCTGACCAGCCCCCCTCACCCTCCTTACAGGGGGCTGCCACTGGCCAAGTTGTGCTGTACACACTACAAAGAGATCAGTAGGTATAGCTCATCAGAATAAGCTGAAACTGGGAAAAACCATCGGTCTGTGACAATACATTCAGGTGATAAAAAGCATATCAATATGGTAACGAAAGAGCAGGCTGAATACAACTGAATGCTTAATTTTATAAATTTGCATCGCCAAGGGAGTGCAGCCATACAGAGCTGTTTCTTGTACTGTGTATATATTGTTCATCAAGGATAGACAAAAAATTTCCTCTCCATACTTAAATAGGGAGGGAGACACAGAAAATTATGAAGAAGCAAGGATCCTGCATCAAGAACAGGACATATAGGGCTGGCCCGGTGGCTCAGTTGGTTGGAGCGCAAGCTCTGAGCAACTTGGTTGCTAGTTCGATTCCCACATGGGCCAGTGAGCTGCACCCGAGCTGAGCTGCCACTGAACTGTCAACGGGAGGCTGGATGGCTCAGTTGGTTAGAGCATGTGCTCTTAACAACAAGGTTGCCAGTTCAACTCCAGCATGGGATGGTGGGCTGCGCTCCCCCCCGCCCCGCCACTAGATTGAAAGTGGCGACTGGACTTGGAGCTGAGCTTGCACCTTCCACAACTAAGATTGAAGGACAACAACTTGACTTGGAACTGATGAGTCCTGGAAAAACACAATGTTCCCCTTCCCCAATTCCCCAACACTGTTCCCTTCCGCAATTCCCCAATAAAATCTTTAAAAAATAATAAAAGAAATAAAGAACAGGAAAAACAAGTGGGCACGCAGTAATCAATGGTGTGCAGCGGGTGACACCTCAGCTACCACAAGAGAAGAGCTAACAGAGATGCTCATCTTGAGATGTGCAAAACACATAACAAAGTCAAAAACAAATCTAGACAGAACATCCTGTGACCCAAACATGGTGAGCACAGAGGTAAAGGGAGGCAGCAGATGGCAAGAACAGGCAGGTGCCTGGGCAGTCCCCACAGTGTCATATAAACCTCGGCTCCACGTGGCAGGCTGGCACAGGCAGGGTCACCCCAGAATACACACACCCCATCCCTGCTCCCAACCAAGGAGCCATCATCCAGAGCTCTGGAGCTGCAGCACAGGCGAGAGGAGGCAGGCTTCTTTACATATAGATCTGCTAAGACCATTATAACTCTGGGCGAGGCACGAAAATATGAAGGAATTAACCAGGCACACAGTATCAAGGAAATATGATGACCTGACTTGGTGAAAAATATCTAAGATAATCTGATTTTTAAAATGTGGCATCCAGTTGAAACATGACAGTGATAACAGGTCCTCTCGCTGGACTGGGAGCCCAAAGTGCACCATTTCCCTACGGAAAAGTGCTGTTTTCTTGAACGCCCTATGGCTTGGCAGTAAGTCAAATGTGCCTTATGTGCGTCATAAACATTCCATCTCACAAGGGTACCAAGGGTTGGACT